ATGATCTGCAAGATAGCACTGCGAGCACCTTTATTGATGGCTACAAGGAGTTTAGAGAAAAAGTTTCAGCTATTTTTCCCAACATAGACTTTTTGGGATTCATTCCTTATGAGGGGTCGAATACTGATATTGATGGCGATGGCTCTAATAATGGAGAGTCAGATAGAAATGAGTAGGGTGACAACAACGAGAGTAGTTAGAATTCTAAGGATATTTGATTTTTTGTGTTTGGTAGGTAGGTAGCGTCAGACTATGCTCTGACTTTTGTGGAAGTGACTTTTGTTTCCAAACTTCTTATGAAATGAAAACCAGGGCAAATTTGAAATAAATTCACAAAATTTTTATTTGATAACTGGTTATAATAAACAATGGTGGTTGACAATCCCAGAAAACTTTATTTGGTAATTCCAAAAAAGGTACAAGTCCATATTTGAGACTGAATAAAATCCTAGAGTTTTATTACTCTGGTTCCCCTTGCATTATTGGTAGTACCTCTTCAGATGTTCAGTATTCCATGGATTGGTTAAGACCTTTCCTTTAGAATTCTAGATTCTGTAAGTGTCTGGCCTTACAATTTTCGTCACAGTGTATGGTCCTTCCTAGTTTGGTCCTAACTTTCCCTCATGTGAGTCTTTAGTGGCCAATATCACCATTTAAAGGACTAAGTCCCCATGTAAGATGGAGTGAGGCTTCACCCTTGAGTTATAGTACTTAGTCATGCGACGCTTGTATTCCGCATTCTTGATCATTACCATATCTCTTTTCTCTGCTATCAAGTCGAGGTTGACGGGGAGGCCTACCTTAGTGAGAGTACCTTGATCTCAACAGGTATGATTGCTTCTATCCCAAAGGCAAGGGAGAAAGGAGTCTCGCCAATGGGGCTCCTTGGAGTTATCTGGTAGGCCCATAGAACTCCCGGGAGCTCCTCTACCCATAATTCCTTGGCACTTTCCAATTTAGTCTTCAAATTGCGTAGTATGGTCCTTATGGTGACTTCGGCTTATCCGTTTACCTGGGGGTGGGATATCCTGGAGTGGGGTAGCCTGATTTGGAGGTTGGCACAAAAACCATTAAAGAGTTTATTGTTGAACTACTTGACATTTTCGTTTACTATGGCATGGGGTATTCCAAAGCGGCACGCCATGTTTCTCCAGATAAAGTCCTTCACCTTCTTATTATTATTTTGGTTAAGGGCTCAGCTTTCGCCCACTTTGTGAAGTAGTCGATAGCTACCACCACAAACTTGCACTTGCCACGGCTTATAGGCAGGGGGCCTGATATTGATGCCTCACTTGAAGAATGGTCATGGACTCATGATGGCAGTCAAATCTTCTGGTGGTTGCCTTGGTATAGTAGAAAATCATTGACACTTGTCATAATTTTTCACAAACTCTCGGGCATCTCTAATCATATTAGGCCCGTAGTTACCTTGTTTGATTGCTTTATGAGCTAGAGAGTGCCCTTCCGAGTAATTTCTGCATACCCCCTCATGGATCTCTCTCATGGCAGTTAGATTCCTCTGGAGAGAGACAACAAAGTAATGACAGTGAGTAGCTCCTCTTGTAGAGAATGTCCTACATGATGATATATCTTGACGCTCTTAGGTTTAGTTTCTTGGCTTCCATTAGGTTGTCTAGGATAGGCCATCTTCTAGATACTCCTGGATGGGTGTCGTCCAGTCGTCGTTAGTGGATGCACAATTGATGCTTCCTATGTCCATTTTGAGCATGCTTGGCACAAATTGGTGATCTGTAGATGTGGGACCTGGTGGCATATTTGAGGATAATGCAAACTTGGCGAGTGCATCTGCTATAACATTATTCTTCCTTGGCACATGTTGAATTTGAAAATGGTGGAACTTTTTTAATAAAGTTTTCACCATTGTTATGTACTCTTGCATCCTTTTTTTTCTTGCTTCAAAATCTCTTTTTACTTGGTTGACGACCAGTTGGGAGTCATTATAGGCGGTGAGGTGATCAGCCTTCATTTCAATTGCTAGCCTTAGGCTTGAGATGAGCACTTTATATTCTGCCTTGTTGTTGGAGGCTGCAAAATGGAGTGATACGACATACTTGAGGGGTGTAGCATTTGGTTGATGAGTTCTAGGCTTGTTCCACTACCTTTATTGGTTGAGGACCCATCTACATAAAGTCTCCAACAAGGCATAGATGCATGCGCGACGTCAAGGGGTATGGAGGCATTAATAGTTGGAGGAGCCAGCATGGCAGGTAGTAGGGCACCTTGCTGAGGCGTGAAGGAGGAGAGTGCAAAGGTGCCTAGGGAGCAAGGCACCAAGGTGGAGGTGCTTGGGGAGCAAGGCGCCAGGGCTAGGTCACCTCGAGAGCAGGGCGAGATGCCTAGCAAGCTAGCTCGGAGGTAGGCAAGTGCTGGGGCACTGGCCATAGATGCTGGTTCTTCTCTGTTGCCTCCCTTCTCAAATGTTGTGAGCCCATCCACAAAGTCTGCTAACGTTTGTGCCTTGATGGCCGCTCTTGTTAGGTACTACATGTCAAACTCATCTATTTGAGGAGCCTTTCAGACACATCTAGTTTTCCCAGTATTCTTTCATTGGTTGATCCGTGACGACCATGATGGTGTGACTCTAAAAGTAATGCTAAAAGGGTCTGGCTATTGTGACTAGAGCGAGAACTAGCTCTTCCAACCCTAAGTATCTTATCTTTGCACCTTGATAAGCCCTACTCACATAGTAGATGAGTCTTTGCACTTCATTCTCCCTAACAAGGATGAAGCTTATGATAGATAGTGAGACAGTCAAGTACAGGTACAAGGTTGTTTCAAGTATGGAGTGGGAGAATAAGGGGAGTGTGGCAAGATAGGCTTTCAGTCTCCTACAAGTGGGTCACATGGTCTGCTGTGATAAGGCTCTTTTAACATGTCATCTACATATACTTCCATAGTCATTCCGATTTGTGACTGGAACATCTTGTTTACTAGTCGCTAGTATGTTGCTCCTGTATTTTTTAGCATAAAGAGCATGACCCTATAATAGTAGGTCCCTTTGGGAGTGATGAAAGATGCCTTCACCTGGTTTGGGAGATACATTCTAATCTAGTTATATCCCAAGTAGGCATCTAGGAGCTAAGCAGCTCATGACTAACTGTGGCATCAATGAGGATGTTCGATGCATGATAGGGGGTAGATGTCTTTGGGATAGGCTTTGTTGAGCTTAGTGAAGTCTACGCAAAGGCGACACTTTCCACCAATTTTGGTCATCATCACAACATTGGATGGCTAGTCTGGGTAAGCCACCTCTCTTATCGACCCATTTGCTAATAGTTTTCCCATTTTTTTTCTCCAGGGCTTGTGCCCTTTTAGTAGCGTCACTTCTCAACTTTTGGCAAACGGGTTTGTGCTGGGGATCAATGTTGAGCCGGTGGGTGGCGACTTTAGGGTTAATGCCTTTAAGGTCTTCTTGAGACCCGACAAAGATGTCAATGTTCCGTCTGAGAAAATCAACCAATTTTTGGGCTCGATCTTCAGGAAGCGAGGAGATAATATAGATTCTCCTGTCCGAAAAACTTTCGTCCAAGACTACTGGTGTGAGCTCTACTACTGGCTCTCCTGTCTCTAATGTACCGTCATCCCTTGGGTAAAACATTTCCACTTGTAGGGCTTCTTGAGGCTTTGTGGCCCTCATTGAGGCAACATAGCACTCCTTGGCAACAATTTGATCTCCTTGAATTTTTCCAATTTCGCTTTGGGTTGGAAAACAGAGAATGAGGCGATAAGTGGATGGCACCCTTGCAGGGTATTTAGTGCGGGACGCCCTAAAATGATTTTATAGGCAGACTAGAAATCCAACATTAAGAAATTCACCATTATGGTGGAGCTTTTCAGTGTTGTACTCATAGTAACTAGTAGAGTGATAGAGCCCAAGGGATACGCCTTTTCTCTTAAAAAACTGATGAGAGGCGTTCTGATAGGTTTAAGTCTCTCCCTGCCAAGATGAAGGTTATCGTATGCCGCTACGAACAAGATATCGACGAAGCTGCCATTGTCCACAAGGATCCTCCTTATTTGGTAGTTGGGACCATCATGGTTAGAACAAGCAGGTCATCATAGGGTGCTAGATCCTCTCCAAGTCTTTGTATGAGAAGGAGATGACCTCGTTGTCTCCTAGTCTGTGAGACTTCAACATTCGCAAGTCATTCATGTTCTTAGCCTTTCTAGTGTGTGTCTTATTGGCTGAGTTGGAGTCACCTCCTCTTTCTAGTCCTTCGGAGATCATCTGAATTTCTCCTAAGGGCAGTTGGTGCTCTATCTCATCCTAGTTGCAGCTTGGTGGGGGGTCTGGCATCTGCCTGTCACCTATTATCGTAACTGGTCATGCTATATAAGGTCCTCAATCTGCTTCTTAAGTTTAAAGTAGTCGTCAGTGTCGTGGCCATGATCACCATGGAAATGACAGTATTTGTTCGAGTTCCTACGATTTGGGCCAGATTTCATTTTTCCCGGTCAGCGTACCGAAGGGTTGCCCTGAATTTAGAGCAAAATATGCTCAATTGAAGCATTGAGCGATGTGAAGGCCTACCACTCCTTCTGAGGTGTAGGGCTGAGACGGTCCTTAGTTGACACTCTCAGTCCTCCTCCTCTTATTCTTTGTCAAAAAAATTCCAGTTTGCCCCCTAAAAGATACAATTTTTTTCACTTTGCCCCCCCAAATGATTAGTTTTCACATATTGCCCCTGAAAGACATTACAATGTTGCAATGTAGTTAATCGTCATTTTTTCGTTTATTGTCCATTTGGTTTTGTTATCACGTGTGAAACATGTGATAACAGGAGAGGTTGTATTGTAAAATCCTTGTCTGTGCAAACCCTTGTCTTTGTCTACCAAGTGATTTGGGTCTTCTGCTAAGAGAGAGAGAGAATGGAAAAAATGAAAGAGAGAGAAATTTGCCCAAATTTGGGGAAGAATATTTAGGATTTTTTTGTTTGTCTGTCGCATCGACTAGGTTGAGGAATTTGAAGATTCAAAAGATGTCGTGGTTATTGAGGGAAGCGATCGACGATTCACGGCCTTGTTGCGATGCGCTATGCTATGGTATATTTAACATGCAATGGTTGACTGTGTTGACATCCATAGTTGTCTATTTTTGTCTGGGTTATGGGTGAATATACAATTTTTTTGTAGGTATGGTATTTGTCTTTGTTCGTTGTGGAGTTCATTGTGGGTTTATAGTTACTCTATGTTGGGATCACTTGGGACAATTTTTTATGGGCGTTTGTGTGTGTAAGTGTAACATGTGATAGTTTTGTTTATGCTTTTTTGTTTGTTTATTGTAAGTTGACTTATTACTTTATACTTGAGTAATGGTTGTTTTATTTTTTCACATTGTGGAGTAGATGGAATAATGTGTGCTTTGTCTGCCAATTGCTTGTGATTGTATGTGTAGACCATATTTGTGGATATTTTACTATCCGATTGCATCATGGTGGTAGATTGGGCAGTAAAGGAAATAAACCTTATATTGGTGGCAAGATAAATCACATAGATATGTGTGATGATGGCCATCTTTCTTTGATTGAGTTGGAGAATCTGTTAAAGGCTATGGAAGTGGGATACTCTAAGCTGAGTAGATTCCACCATATAACCACTGATGGATGGAAAATGTTGGAAAATGACAGATAGACCTTGGAAATGATTAACTATATTGATAGCGACAGAGTCATTGATGTTTATATTGAGCACATCAATCCAAATGTGTTTATCCACAGTCAAGTTGATTCAAATGTAGGTGGTTTGGTGGATACAAATCAAGACTCTAAAAGTTCGAATGAGAGTGGCTCGTACTCAGACGGAGAGTCCTCAAAGTATGAATACTTTTATGATAGTGAGTATGACATGCATAATGATGAATTGTATGATACTTTTGTGGATCATGATGTTGGATTTGTTGATGTTAACAAAGGGAAAAGAATGGAGGAAGACAAAGGAGTTGCCAAAGGGAAAATAATGGAGAAAGGAAAAGGAGTTGCCAAAGGGGAAGGAGTTGGTTTTTATGGTGATAGTGGCACAATTTTGCATGACAATAATGATTTTTATGGTGAAGAATATGTCACAGATGAGTTGATCAGTCTAAGTAAATCATCATCAGAGGGTGAGGAAGGAAGAAATTCCAAGGTTTAAGTATCCACACTTCAATGCTAGGACTGCATGGTTGATCCACGATTTAAGCTATGTATGTTGTTCAAAAATGCAAATGAGTTTAGAGCTACAGTTAGCAACATGCAGTCAAATGGGAGTAAGGAGATAAGGTTCATTAAAAATGATAAATGTAGAATAAGGGCAGTTTGTAGGCCTGATTGTGAGTGGTTGATATTTGTTTCCAGCATGGCAGGTGAAAACAGCATACAAGGTAAAACATATAATGCTTCCCATAGTTGCAATAGAACTTTCAACATTAAGCATGCTAGTTCCAAATGGATTACAGATACATATGTTGATAGACTGAGATCAAACCCTATATGACCCATGAAATCCTTCAAGGAAACTATGAAGTAAGAGCATGCTCTAAACTTGGGAAAATAACAAAGTCTACAGAGCTAAACATAAAACAATGGCAATTGTGAGTGGCATAGACAAAGAGAAGTTCAGTTTGTTGTGGGATTATTGTGAAAAATTAAGAAGAACCAACCCAAATACAACTTTTATAATCAAGTCCAAGGCTTTAGAGAGTGGTGAGGTAAAGTTTAAGAGATTATACATATGTTTTGGGGCATTGAAAAATGGTATGTTGTATGGATGCAGACCCTTAATTGACTTGGATGGTTGTCATCTAAAGTCCAATCAGTATGGCATTTTATTATCAGCTGTTGGGATTGACCCCAATAATCAGATATATCCAATAGCCTATGCAGTAGTGGAAAAGAAAAGAAGAAGTCTTAGGCTTGGTTTCTAGAACTTATGAAGAAGGATATGTGCATTGTTAACACACATTCATGGACTTTCATGTCAGATACATTAATGCATATGATTGTTTCAGAGATTGCTAGATGCTGTTGAGATTCTTTTTCCAAATGCTGAACATAGGTTCTGTGTCAGACATTTGCATAACAACTTCAAAGTTTAGCACAAAGGCTTAGCACTGAAGGATTTGTTATGGAGGGCTGTCAGGTCAACAAGAGTTGTTGACTTTCACAAAGTTATGGATGGATTACTTACTGTTGATGAATGTGCATATAGATGGTTGTGTGAAAGACCAACTGTGAATTGGTCTAGGTCCCATTTCAGTAAATTCCCCAAATGTGGTATGCTATTGAATAATATGTGTGAGAGTTTTAACACTTGTATTGTTAAGGCTAGGGAAAATCCTATATTAAAAATACTTGAAAAAATTAGAGTGTGGTTAATGGAAAGAATTCATAGACAAAGAGACTCCATTAAAAAGTATAAATGAACAATCTGTTCTAGAATTCAAAAGAGATTGGAAGACATTAAAGTTGAGTCAATAGCTTCATACATGGAATGGGGATGACAAATTTGAAGTGGTTGGGATAAGTGGAGAATAAAATACAGTCAATATTCAAGATAAAACTTGTAGTTGTAGAAAATGGGGCTTAACAGGAATCCCATGTAAACATATTGTATCTGCCCTCAACTTTTTGGGTTTGTTAGCAGAGGATTTTGTGTGTGATTGGTGCAAGATCGAAACCTTTCTTAGGTGTTACAATGAACTAATGAGCCCTATCAATGGCAAGGAGATGTGGACCAAGTGTGGATATGCCAATCTCTTCTCCCCTGCGGTGAGCATAAGACCTGGCAGGTCAAAGAAGGTGAGAATGAGGGAGATTGATGAATCTGTGAATGGTGTCAAGCTGAAAAGGAAATATAACGCTATAATTTGTGGAAATTCTGGTAAAGTTGGCCACAATAAGAGGAGGTTCAACCAGAAACAAACCAATGTCCTAATGAGTTTTTAGAAATTCTAAAAGCTAAGTTTTATGTTTTGTCCACTCCACTAACATTTAATGTATGTTTTATGTTTAGGTGGACAAACCTATAACTGAATCAGAAACTTGAAATCCTAATTCTGCATGCCCATATCCATCTCAATCCCAATCTACAACATTGAATGTTCCATTTGGTTGACATAAGTTGCCTGTAAGATATGAAGCATTCCATATTTGCTATCATGTCTGTTTTTATTTTTCAGTAAATGAGCCAATTTTTATTATTCATTAACAGATTAAAAGGAGGAACAATGGATCACAATCTGACTTGACTACAAAACTGTATCAACCAATTGAGCCAAGAAGCCATCAACATCTACTTCCAATTAGTTTGCTTGCAGAGCACCATTAGCATCCACTTCCAATCAGTCTACTTGGAGAGCACCATCAGTTTCTACTTCACCAAAATCAACTTGGAATACACCAAGTAATGCATCAAAAGGTAGTTGAAAGCCAGCAATAAGTCTCCCACAACAAAATGTAGTTCATCCCAGACCAAGTTGAACACAAGGGCAACATCAATTTTTGGGAAGGGGATGTGGGACCATACTAGCAAGATATCTCTTTCGTTAAAATATACCAGGTAGCTGTCTATTTTGTTAAAATATTCCAGCTACCTGTCTCTTTTGTTATACATATTTGTAATGCAGTTGAACTGCAACACTTTTTGGTAAATGAATATGCACTTTTTGGGAAATGAATATGCATTGCACCCAAGAATTTATCATATACCATAGTTATTTAAGTATTATTTGATTAGTAGATGCTAATGAGAAATCAAGTTGATTCATGGATATACAAATTAATTAGTACATGCTAATGAATCATAATATTACATAACTTCAGTATTTCATTATAGCAACCATCATCAGATTACATACAACAAAAGGTCTAACTTAGCAAAAAATTTCATTAGTTTCACCTAGCTTCACTTCACCCAGCACACTTTCACAACAGTTGCAATGGCAAAATATCCATCAGCTTCATTCATGGATACACATTCACAACAGTTGCAATGGAAAAATATATCCATTTGGAACCTTCACAGCTGAGCCATATCCCTCAACTTCATTCATGGATACACAAATGATCACAATGAGAAACCAATAACCAATCATGTAGCACCAAAGCATCCTCACTCTTACTCTGGATTTCTCCAACTGCTCTTCTAAACGGGTAACACGACGCAATAAACCCGAAATTATTTGGAATGATCTAGTACACATTGGGGGATTGATCCATAGAAAGTAACCACACTTAGCTACAACCTTAAGAAATGTTGAAACAAAATCGATCAAAACCATCAATAGTACCCACTAAAAGTGGCAAAATAAGTTGTTCGATGCCCAGAAAACATAAATTTCAAGAAATAAAACTAATCCTAGTTGTAAAAAAATCCCTAATTTATCAAATACAAGTTGTAATAATCAGTTGCTTGAACATAAACAAACTAAAGATGAATAATGGAACAACTTACGTCGTTATTCGCACATGTGATAAATCTCCTTGCTGGGTTCAAATCTGCCCACGATGTCTTCGTTTCGGGCCTTCTACCATAGTAACACATGTATTGCATTTCTCCCTCTCCTCCTACTTTCTGGAACTTCTTTTTCCACATACCAGAGAACCCAGATGACAACTTAGGGTTTTTATGCACAAGCACTTGGGTAGACGAAGACAAGGGTTTGTACAAACAAGGATTTTACAATACAACCCCTTTTGTTATCACGTGCTTCGCACTTGATAACAAAACCAAACGTATGACACATGAAAAAATGACGATTGACTACATTGTAACCTTTTAATGTCTTTTAGGGGACAATATGAAAAAATTAATCATTCAGGGGGCAAAGTTAAAAAAATTTGTATATTTCAAGGGGTAAACTGGGATTTTCCTTCTTTGTTTCTCTCCTGTCTTCACGGGGCTCCTTCCTTTTCTTCCTTCCACAGGAGGACTTACCTTTTCTGGCCCTGGTGACATCTTTAGCATTCATATACTTTTGGGCATTTGACAATAGTTTTGACATGATCGTTGGTCGTTTCTTCGAGACCGAGAACATAAAACTGGATGAACATAGGCCTACGATAAAGGCAGCCATGGTGACTTTATCATCTAGCTCTTCAATCTAGAGGGCCTCCTCATTATAATGAGTGAGTTAACTCCTTAAGATTTTTTCTTGATCTTGCTTGATGCTAAGAAAGGGTAACAGGCTTCTGATGTTGGCATCCTCCTATAAAGTCAGAGATAAATGATTTGCTTAGTTTAGTAAAAGAATTAATGGAAGTTGGTTTGAGTTTGGCAAACCACTGGCGTGCAGATCCCTTGAAGGTGTTAGGAAAGGCTCTACACATTATTTTGTCTAGTATGTTATGAAGCTGCATGAGGGATTTATAAGTGTGAAGGTGGTCTAATGGATCTTTTGAGCCATCAAAAGCTTCCACAGTTGGCATCTTGAACTTTGAGGGGAAAGGGTAATTGGCCACATCAGCCACAAATGAAGTGTCAGTGCACTTCACAAGGTATTCTACTATTTTTGGCATTCACACCTTGATGGCATTGAAGATGTCGCCTAGATGATTCTACACCTCTTTGATTTTTTCATCCCATTGGTTAGGAATGCCCTCGGAAGGGTCATTGTAGTGGCTTTTGTGATCCACATACTAGTTTTCTCCCTCATCTTCTTGCATAGGAGGGTCACCAGTATGGGAGGACGGAGCTGACACATGAGGAGAAGGAACCGGGGATGCCTAGGCACTGACGAGGGATGCCCTGGTGTTGGGTCCCCTACTAGGGGGCACCTTGGCACCCTAGGCAGATTACTTGGGGTGCTTCTCCTCTGGGGGCTAGGGTAGGACTCCTTGTGGATGTCTGGTGAGCATCAACTGGAGGATTTGCTAGTTTTGGTTCACCAACAACTGCCATTGTCTCTAGTAGTTATTGTATGGCTATGAGATTTACTAACGGAGGCAAGACCTTGTCGCAACATGACGGACATTTCTTTCGTTTGTTGATTCATGGATCTAGTTGCAATAGCCATAAAATGGAAAGAAAGTAGGAAGAAATAGAAAGACAATATAAAATTTAGTCATTTTTCATAGACGACACCAAACTGATGATGCACAAAGCTTGTTTATGCACCACCTGTAATATATTGAATGCAGTAACAAATGATGAGA